CAGGAGAAAACTTTCCTCCAAAGATGAGTAAAAAGTGTATATTGATGGAACATGTTTGTTGAAATGAAATAACCATATGAATGAAGCAACTCTTTGAAAAAAAAAATGTATAAAAAAAGAAAAAAGTGTATAATGACGGGGAGAGTAAACTCCAAACTATTTATGTTTACGACTGGCTTGTAGAGCTGCTAATTCACCTCTTCCCATTAGACAGCATGCATTAATGTTTCTCATATTGGAGCAGCTCAGCGCCCTGCAGCCACTGACTCTTGCTGTTCACACTAAACCCCATCTTTGTCAGCATGAAAAGAAAGCTTTGTGCCCAGCATGCACTGGGGGAGCTGATTAATGTAAAACTTGTGGATTATTTAGACCCGGGATGATCAACTACTTATTTTCATTCAAAGCATTTATATCACAGGTATTAAAACATGGACATAAAAAAAGGATTGGCTTACTTGTTAGAGCTGTGTGCATTTGAGTCTGTTTTCTGCAAAGCTTTAAAAGTAGAGCTCTGTTGGCACAAATCTTAATGACCATAATGCACTATCAGACATAAATCACAGAGACACTAAGCACGCCCGCTCATCGCACAGACTCCACTGAATACGGGCAGATCAGGTTTGAAATGAATATTTATGTAATCCAAAAAAAATAAAAAATAAAGATCAACATGCAGCTGCAACATCAGTACACAGATACACACACACACTCGAACACGTGGCAAGAGATTACATCCGTCAATCAGAGCATCACTCATCCTAATGACTTCAGTCCCTCCAGAGACAACAAAAACAATTGTGTTTCTTTTGTGTTGCTGACTGTGTTACAACCAGCTGCATCGCATCAAACTACAAACACACACTGTTGACGGTTGATTTGAGTGAATTAATTATGGATTCAATCTCGGAAAAAAACGCCTTGAAGAAAGCTAAGAAAACAAACCAGGGAATAACGGATTTAGACGCAAGAAAAAGGCAAATATCAAACATCTACAGGAGCAAACATCTTGAGCTGTATTCAGTATGAAATATTCACTCACCTATCACTTTGCATACACAATTACACTGATGCCACCTTGTGCAAACAGTGCAGACCAAGAGATGGTTTCATCAAATTTAAGCAAGAAACGACAACAGATTGGAAAAGAATGGAAAACGACACTCACCCCAGACAGTTCATCGTCTCAGCTGTCACCCATCGCTCAGAAATCAAACCTTAGCTCGAAGTTGCATCATGACACCCCTGCTGCTACTCTGAGGGAAATGAAATATATGGAGGAACCTTGGTGCATGCAGGAGGCTGTCTTTACCAAAATGTCAAGGGAAAACGGTCACCACACAGAAAGAGAGAGAGAGAGAGAGAGAGTTGGGAACAGCCCGAGCTCTGAGCAGAATAATGAGAAGAAAATCCATCAGAGCCAAACACAAAACCCCCTTCAGAGAGAGAGAGTGAGAGAGAGAGAGGGGGGGGGAGAGGTAAGAGAGTTGGGAGACGGGTGGGGGATGGAAAAACAATGGAGGAATGGCATAAAGGTCGTTATTGGTGCTCGTGCAAATAGGAGTGCACTTCATGATACAAATACCAACGAGGAGTTCTCAGGTGTTTGAATTATTCATGACCTGTTTAAGGCAGAGATAAAAACTCCCAAAACCTCAACACTGATTTCATACAGCTGGAGACCCCTCTACAAAACGAAAGCATTCGATACGATACGATGCTACTAGATACAATACAAAACTATCAAAAAGATACAATACAATATAATACAATACATTACTACTTGAAACAATACGATAAAAAAAAGTTTCGACGGGGCGCTGGTGGCACAGTGGTTAGTGCTCCATGTGTGGAGGCTGTAGTCCTCCAAGATGGCGGCCCAGGTTTGAATCCAGCCTGTGGCTCCTTTCCTACATGTCATTCCCTACTCTCTCTCTTTCCCTGAGTTCCGACTCTATTCACTTTCTTATCTCTCCATTGAAGGCACAAAAAGCCCCAAAAAAATCTAAAAAAGAAAAAAAAAAAAGTTTAAAATATATAAGCCAATATGCTATTATACAAAAAGATAAGAAAATGTACAATATTAAATTATACAATATGATGTGATATAATAAAACACCATATGATAGGATCAAATAAGATACGATAGTGATGAGGTACGTGTGATACAATGAGAGGCACAAGGTCCACTGTAACACTTATATCACAATACAACAATTCTGCATAAAATTGATGAATTGCAAAACATATATATAATAATAAAAATACATCGGAATATTTCATTAACTGAAGATTTTTAAAAAATGAACCTAAAAAAATAAAATGCAGGATTCATGTATTCATTCAGTCATCCTGCTTCATCTTTTAACTTCATTTCACAGCTCTCTGACATCATCCCGCTGTCTACTTCTTCTTTGGCTGATAAGCTTCTGTTCAAGTTTCCCTCATTCATTGTGTCATAAGAAGCAGCGTATGGGGTCATGAAGAAGAGGGCCATTTCTTTTCCCTAGATATTTGGAACCATCACACGAGTACAGGACTACAATACATTGCGGAATGTCTCCCCTTGTATTATAACACTAAAAAAAATAGTGTAGAAGTGCAAGGGAGCCAGCATAGTGAGGGATTCAAAAGATTTGATTGGCTGTACTTGTGGAAGAAGAAGTGCAATCTGTGGGCTAACTCTCAGGGGATTTGGAGAAAAGGCAGGAGTGCCGGTCATTCTGGCACAAACTCTGGCTACCTGAGTTCTCACTTTTAGTCATCTGGCGTTACTCCATTCCTCTAGCTCTATTTTTTTCTCTCCTCTTTCTATTTTGGAAGGGCCTGTGGTTGTAGAGCAAGCATGGCAACCGGTATTAAATTATGTTTCCATGAAGCGAGCACTCAACTAAATCTGTCCGTGGCTCCTCATCACACACACCTCCATGCTGTGTACCAATCCATGCTGCCAATCCTCATTTACCACTTAAAAAAAAACTCTAAACTGGGGGGGGGGGCAACTCCGTGTCAGTTTAGTCCCCCAGTTTCACTAACACTGATGACACTTTAAGCGACTTTGGAGGGTCAGTGTGGATTTACCTCAGGCAGCAGATGGGGCCCCCCTAAACCTGCAGTATAGCTGTGGAATGACTGGCAGCCAATGGAGCCCCCCCCTCTAATCCAAAACCTGTTTGTTCAGTCATTATGCATTTTAATCCTTAAAGATTATTTGACTTTTCACTGGGGATGTGTGTCAGAAACAAAACCATGACTTGCAGTAAAATGGAATGACAGTGGAAGCTTTGCAGTGTTTCAAATTGAAATCCTGACTGTCTTGATTTTTATGTCCTCAGATTAGAGCCTGGTAAATGGGAAGGGTTTACATTGTTACTAAGATTTTTGCTTTTGCTACTTTCTATTCTTATTTCACCAGGAATATTCCCATTAAGACACAACATCTGTTTACAAGGGAATCCAGGCAAAAAGCAGGAGCATGAAATTCTACACAAAGAACGGACCAATAAGAATATGAGATTACATCAGACAATAAATGTGTAGCATTCAGCAGTAAGACATGTACACACACTGGACAAATGATCCTTTATCCTGCCAGTAAACTGCTCTCGTTTAAGGTCACCCTGTAGCTCAGACCCAGGTGATGGCGCTAAAACAATACAATCACTTTAAACAAAGACAGGACAGTTCTTGGAAGGACATACAAAATGTGTCCATGAGACCAAAATGGGTTACAGCCTCTTAGAGTTTTAGGAGCCAGTAGAGAACATAACGGACATTTTGTTAGCAAAGAATGAAAGAAAACATGGAGAGAAACAAAGGAGGAGACATATCTTCAACCAAGATATCTTTTCCAAGACATAACATGTTCCTCATAGTGATTTACACTTTACAAAACTTTTACAAAGATTTTCAGGTTGAGCCGTATGCCTGAACGCAAACATCCATATTTAGAAAGTGGAATGTGGTAAGTGGAGTCATATGATTCTCAAGTGTGTCACAGTTGAGTTTCTAATGTCATCAGCTGTTTCTAACCATGTTCCAATGTGTGTTAAAGGCTTTATCTGTGATTTTTCACACTTAAATATAATATAAATCAAGTACATCCTCTGAAAATAACTCTGTGAGTCATGACTGTCTACAATGGGTGTAACACCCGAGTCCCACTGTCTGTGATGTTTTCTGAGTTTTCAGAGTCTTATCTTCAGTTTGTTTACATCGCCGGGATGGCCGGCTGACTCCTCCCCTCACGTATAAAAGTTGTTTAATTAGAGAAAAGAAGAATAACATACTGTACTCACTGCTTAACTGTGTTTCTAGATCACGCTCATTTCAGGTAAATTTACATGCAGTGTGAAGATACGAGCATAATAAAGATCGCTAGCATTAGCATGCTAACACAACAATGCACCGCGAGTTGTTTTGGTTTCATGCTGGTGCTCAAGGGCGACATCTGCTGGATCAAAAAATCACATATAAAGCCTTTAATAAGCAATACATGCCCGGTGACGGCATCTTTTTGAGACAAAAGCTCACCCATCTCTCGCTTCCTGTGACTTGAACAACACTAACTGTAGTTGTGCTGCAGGTGTAGACAATTAGAGTAAACAATCTGCGGCACTTTCGCCCCACAGCAGTTACCAGCTAGGGGATGAAACGCTGCCAATAACATACAAATCAGTCAAAAGCGGCCTGGAGTAATTTGATGTCAGCCTTTGGCAATCAGCGTTGATTATCTTTCCGAGTAGTTTCTGCAACAGCAGTTTTTTAAATGTCGATGTCAAGACATTTATTTGTATGTTTAAGTCATGTTTCAGTAGTTCATGTGAATGGATTTGGTCTAATATGTGAATGCAAGAGGTAAAGTACAATGCATGCTCATTTTAATTTATGTCCCTTTCAGCCCGCTATAGGCCAGACTTGATGATGTTTCCATGCACAGATCCTCTCTCTACCAGCAGTTCATTCCTTATTGTAACTGGAGATGAAGGCGGTGCTCTTACCTGATGTTAGAGATGAGCTGTCGATGTTCATCAGTGGTGAGTATGTCAGGCAGGACCGAGGCCAACCACTCCACTCTCTTCTCGGCAGCGTACTGCTTCAGCACGGCAAAGAGTTTCTCTTTCACTTCAGGTTCATCGCCGAGAATCTGGTCGACCTGACGGAGAGCGGGACATGATGTAAGAGCGAGGAGCAGTTTAAGACAAAGTAATCCTGCCACCTACCTTGAACAAGTAAGAAAAACTTGAAAATCCTTTTAGAACAACCAAACGTTTCCATCTTTGGTAGAAACGTTTTTTAGACATATCATATAAATTATAACAAAAATAAATTTGTTGAAGAAAATATGTTTTTAGGACATTGAAACTCTAAAATAAGACCGAAAATCTCTAACTAGCCTCGTCTCCTCGTGGAACGAATTACAAAACTCCATTCGATCGACAGAGTCCCGGTGCACCTTTAAGAGAAAGCTGAAGACCCAGCTCTTTCATGAACACCTACGCATTGAATGGTTTTGATGATGATGATGGCTTTGTTTGAGAACGACGATATTTCGGATGGTTTTGATGCTGATTTTGAACTTCCAAGAACAGCTGTCGATGTTTTTGCTCTGCCTCTGTGCACAGTCAGCATCTGTATCTGATTAGACTTAAAGATGTTTGTTTGCACTTACTGATGTTGTTTCCTCCTTTCTGGAGCCTTGCTTGTGTTACTTACTCTCCGATGTACGTCGCTTTGGATAAAAGCGTCTGCTGACTGAATTGTAGAATTGTAGCTGAATAAATTAACCGTTCCTGTTTTATTAAACAATCGTAGATCTCCATATTTACCTTCCTGTTGAACTCCAGAGCTTTGTGTTTACGGTCCAGTCTCGCCCCGTCCCCTCCCATCTGACCGTCCTCTATGCTGATGCTGTGTTTCTGCCTCTGGCCGAGGCACAGCACCCCCAGGCGGAGCGTCCTCCCCTGAGAGGCCTTGATCAGCGCCGCGGCCGTCTCGTGCTGCCTGACCGGGATGCCGTTGACCTCCATGACGTAATCCCCGGCTCTCAGACCCGCGCGGCCGGCTGGAGAGCAAGGCGAGCAGTCCTCCACCAGCAGGGGGCAGTCTCCCACGATGGTGAAACCGAAACGACCGTCCGGACCTGGAATAATGTCCATCTGTAACGCAAAAAAAAAAAAAAAAAAATGAATGAACTCCACAGGCATTTATTAAGCGACGCACACATGACTGCTGGGTAGGATTCCAAAGCTGCGAGACCTGATGTATGCGGGATACAACTCCAATACTAGGTGGGATGTTCTTCTGAGTCTGAGCGATGGCCATGACAGCTTGGGGACCCAGGGTAGAAACATTATGTCCCTCGATCTCCAGAACCTGGTCCCCAGCCTGTAACCCTGCAAGGTTGGCGCTGCTGCCTTCCTCCACCGAGAGGATGTAGCTCGGTCCAGACCCGCCCAGCTGGAAGCCGAACTCCTCGGGCCAGCCCTGGTTGGAAGACGGCATGCTGAGGACTAAAGGAGAGAAAGAAGAAAAGAAGAGCTACATGTGAGGGTGGATGACAAGTCCTTCACTGTAAACAGAATGTTTTCATGCTTATGTCCCTTTAGGCCGTTCTTATTCACCCTCTGAAACCATGAGTTTTGCCTTGTTGAAAAGCAACATTAAAAAAAAGAGAAAAAAGCATTATCCTGGCAAGTCTGAGACTCGTAAATTTCACTTACCCACTGAGGCCAATGCGTTCAACGACATTGCAAAAAAACACCGGCGGATCAAATTATCCTCTGCGAGCTCAAATGATAAGCAGCCGTTCCCCGTTCTCTCCTCCGTCTCATCCGCTCTCTCCCGTGTCTCAGGTTGTACTATCCAGTGCGGCTCTGTAACCCTCTACCCTGATCCATGTCACCCTGTCAGGTCCCTGACCTGGTTCACAAACTCCAGCGCAGCCAATCAAATTAAGGCGTTGCAGAGATTGTGACCTTAATTAGCTTGAGAGGCAAAAAGGTCCCTTCAGCTTCTTTTTTTTTTGACTCATTGCACATGCAGGCGCATCCTGTTGAATGGTGGTTATGTAACAAAGTGACAGAGCACACCACTGACTACACTTCAGCTACAAAATGACATCAAACAAACCACCAAATAAGGTGCAAATACAGAGGCGGTAGAGGAAGTTGAGGGCCAAAGTTTGGACAGAAATATTCAAGCGAATGATATAATCCACATGTGACAGTTTTCAAAAACATCTCCACTCTGACTAACACAGATTTACATAAAATCACATGTCAGCTTTAAACCCTCTATAGCGCAGCTGGAGGCAAATGATGCAGGATTCACAGTGGATGAAGCCTATATAAGACTTACAGAAATCTTTGGATGGATTCCGAGGGCCTCGTTTGCTCTGCCGGAAAGAGTATCTGCCTTTTTTGTTTTGCAAAAACTTCTTCATCTTGAATGAATGAATCAGACAGCCTTGCTGGCAGCCTTGTATCCAGTGTGTCTTCTAAAAAGTGGTCTCGCGAGAAAAAAAAAAATAGAAAAAAAAAATATATCCACCCCTCCTCTGATCTCTACCCCAAAAAGTCAAACAGGAAGGGTGAAGAAGTGAAAACACTGCTCCATTCTTCCTCCTTGAAACCCCAGCAGTGTCCTCATGTGCAAAGGGTGAACGTGCATGAGGAGCGAGTGCAGTCTCTCTGCGAGTGTGTCAAGGAGTTAGTCCTGCGTCTCATCCCTGATTCATCCTGGGGCCAGCCTGCTTGCACAGTGTTAATCAGAAAACTGGGACGCATGCACCCGCGCACCTCGGTTCCTTAATAATTCTCTCTCCAAAAAGGCTATTGTGAGGCCTCATTTTTCTATAAATACACCGATGTGTCTTTTTTCCTCCTCCTCCTCCTCTCTTGGCTAGGTGGCTCTCCGAGGGACCGCTGCTGGCCCAGAATCACTCTGCGTCGATGCAAGGAAGCCTGATGGGTACTAATTGGAGCGTCTGCTTTGACTGGGAATCTTTTTTGTCCGAGAGTCCGCGAGTGTGAGCTCACCGCATTGTTAAGTCCATTGAGGAGGAGAGCAGGGGCAATTTAAGACTTCAGCCTGTAGGATTAGTAGGATTATAAACTGAATCTGTAGCGCACCTCCAACCCTTTGTAAATCATACTGAAGGAACACAGACTCTCCATGCCTTAATGAATACATATAAGAGACGATGTTACTATAGAGGACCTGAGAATGTCATAGCAACAAGTTTTATCTGGTGATAAGTCAGAATGTGTGACAAAAACACTGCAGCAATGAGATATCGTCTGCATCCAAGGCTGTGTTCAAGTCAAAACAGGAGGGAACCTTTGACAGTTTAAGCATTGCAAAAGTGTGACAGGCTCAGACCCAATGTGTGAAAGGTCAAGGTGACAAAATAACTTCTGAGTTCATTTAGAAATGTATATAGAAAGAAAATTGGTTTGGCAAGAGTTTGATTTCAGCTCATTCATTCTGTATCCTCCAGTGAGATCCATGAGCCAGTAGCAGCGTTCATTTGATCTTCTAAGATTCTTTCTCTTTGTTTCCTGACTCAGCTTTCTCATTGGTAGAGTTGGTCATCTCTCAACCGGAAGTTTTGGGGTTCGATTCCCAGCTCTTGCAGCAACATGTCCGATGTGTCCTTGGGCAAGACTCTTAACCCCGAATTGCTCCCACTGCTTCGTCGTCGGTGTATGAATGTGTATGAATGAACCTCTACCATCAGTGTGTGAATGGGAGGGTGTGTCATGCTGTGTCTGAAGACTAGAAAAGTGCTATATAAGCCAAGTCCATGTAGCATCCACAGACTGTAAATATAAATGGACAAAGCCTGAGTGACGTCAGCCATCTGTTCCTGCAGGGGGCTCCAGAGGCTCATCGGCAGCAGCCGCCATGATGGAAATCCTGTCTCAGTCTAACTTTCAGTCAACCAAACGACAGTCTTAGAGCCGAAAGCTGAGGCGAGTTTTAAGCTTCTTTAAGAACCGTAACAAAGCGCCCACCTGTCAATCATGTCAGCTACGCGCCTAACTATGGATAACACGCTTTGTTTTCAAAATCAAAGCGCTATTGTTATCAGACTGTATAGCTGCCTTCCTTCACTCCACCCTCCTCATAACAAGTTAGCAACTAGCTCTGGAACCTAGCAAAGCATTTAGCAGCTAAAGTCCCAGGTAGAGACTAAACAAAGCTGAAAAGAGAGATGGTTTAAAGATTCTTTTGTGATAAAAGAAAAGAAGATAAAAGAATACTATGCTCCGTGTCTGCTTGCTGATTGAAGACACAACTGCTAGGATACTAGCCAAACTAAATGTACAGTATCACAGCTTTTAAAGGCTGTGAAGCTATTCCTCAAAGCAGCCAAATAATTACAGTAGAATAAAATAATACCAGTACTCAATACTTGTTTAAAGTCCCTACCTGTCAGTTGTACACCCATAAAGGTGTTTTAACCTATTAAGGCCAATTAAATCTTCTCACTCGTCTATGTTGGACATGTGTGTGAATTGATTTGGAAAGACATCTTACTGGTTTTTACACCTTAGGCGTAGGCACACACTTGTTATTTGTTGTTGACTCAGTTGTCAATAGTTAAACTACAGACGTTAATAATGGGAAATGAGAATTTGTTACACGTTCATTTGTCTTATTGTTGCAGTGTTAACTGTCATTAGTGGCAAAGCAGCCAATAAGGAACAAGCAGTCTGACAGAAACTGAATTATTAAACACAAATTGTTCTATCTTTAAGCAGACGCTGTTCACTTCAATTAAACTCTCCTCTTACATTACAGCAAAAACAGTCGATCATGCACGACAAGATGACAAATACTACACTGACAATTAATAGGCGGTTGGCTCTGACAAAAGCGTAGCCTTGAGCTAAATCCATCTTCTGGAAAATAATTATATATTTGGACACATATAGCCGACATTATATTTTAGATATCTATATGACTTTGTGGGGTAAAAAAACCTGTCTATTTTATATTTATAATAAGCTTAACTGCTATATCAAAGTCAATAAATGGGTCAAAAGAAACTCATTTGAAACACTTCTCAAAAGCAAACTGTATCTGCAAATGTGTTCAACTGATTGTGGGAGAACACAGATCAATCATACTTTTAAAGCAATCAACAAACAAGCGCATCTCATGAAAAGGTCAGTCCAGAAAAGCCATAAATCCCATACCTGTTTAAACAGCATCCATGCAGGCGTCCCGAGTACTGCTTCTCCGTCCAGCTCTGTGGGCTGTAATATGAGTGTTGGGCCATGTCAGCAACCAGATACAACAGGTGTCTCCTAATGCCTCTGTGTGTTGTGGATGGTAGTGACAGAGGGAAAACAATATTTAGTTACTGCGAGGTCGTTATTTATGTAGGCACAGAAGCCTAAATGTTGAGAACAATATACAGTCCACATGTTGGTGTGTTTGCCTTGGAGAAGGTATCATGCCTTTTGCAGGTGGCAAAATGACCTCCTGGACCCTTGTGAAAGAGTGCTGTACATCTTTACATTTCTAATAAACACATGGGTGACTCACTCTGGAAGTTTAAAAATGTAAGTTTAATTCTAATATATTGAAGATGATCACAATAAACTATGGGAAATAAGGATCTTCTTTTAGAGAATGGCATTATAGTCAAAAATGTGTAAAAACATTTTGGTCTTATTTTGATAGTGTCTTTTTAAACTAAGGAAATGCAGGTTTATGTTTTCTGGAGTGTAATCATTATTACGAATCTGAAAAAGCACATTTATTTACTTTTATGGTAATTCAGCTAATTGCCAAGAGATCTCCGCCCACCGTCCTGCAGCAGGGTCAGCCTGAGCAGGTTAGCACAACCAATCAGCTGGTAGCTTTAGCTTTAGCTACGTCAATGCAACGGAAGTAGCATGTTTGTGCACACAATACGTGGAGCTGGTTTCCCTAGCACTAATTAAACCAACTATGTTGACGTAAGATAAAAACACTTTTGGGCAGCTATGTGTGACCTCGCCTGGGAGGTAAGAGGAAAGTTACTACGTGAATAACTTATAATGCGGGAATAGAAATGCTTTGTTTGTTGCGCTCCCGTAGGTTAGCATGATGCTAACAGAAACTTGTTCATCATTTAGATGGCACACCTGGTATACTTTTAGTTAGAAAAACCTTAGCAGTGTTGACAATAATTTGAAGTTATCCTCTTTTAAACCACGTAATAGTAACAAAACGATGTCTTTATGTTGAGTTTGTATCATAAACACCTGTTGTTGTGTGTCTCTGAAGGTGCTCCAGTAGATGATGGATTTCCTCACCCTGTTTGTTATCTACGTCATCGTGGTGCTCACATGTATATTCTTAGTCTGCAAATACTCAGGTCAACAGCAAACTCCCTTTAGTGTCTTATTCAACTGTTTAGTGAAGGTAAGAAAAGATTGACTGTACTTTTATAATACGACGCTGTGTGGCGCTGTGACACAAAAACATATCATCTGTTTACCTGTTCAACTTCTTCTTCACAGGTAGTTTCACCATTTACACCAACATGCCTCCAAACGTTTACACAGTGGTGCCTGCACAGGCTGTTCCATCAGAGGTTTGTACAGTAGATAAAGCGTTTCCAGAAAGAAAGAAAATCAGTGTCACAGCATTCCTGAAGTGTTGATTTTTACGTTGCATAATATTTTATTTTGCCCTTTTGATTTCTATTTTCTATCGTACATTTTTCATGGATTTGTATTTCTCATGTGCTTTCATTGTAGGAACAACATGTTCATCTATTTACATATCCTGCTGGAGGGAGTGGTGTATGCAGAGTTTTCCTATGAGGTGTTCGGCTTCTGCAGGGACATGGACACAACTCTAAGCAGCCTGTCTGTGCCTTACATCCTGCTGGTTATAAAGAACTGCTTCTTCTACCTCTGCGTTAAAAGAGATCCAGGTACATTTTGTATTAACTGCACTATTTTCAAACACACTTTGTTGTTTTCCTGCAATGTCTCTTACAGTTCATGACGTTATTGTTTGTCAGGGTGGTGCCAATGTATTAAGTAGGGATGTAAGTAAATCAGTCATTTCATTTTGTCACTTGGAGGGTAAACAGTGGGCTGGTGACACAATATCCCTGTGGCATGGTGAGAAAATGTATCCTCATGTGAGGGTAAGACTTGAAATGCGCTGTGCTCATTTACACTCTTTGTATTTATTTTTTCTTGGTATCAAACTTAACTTAAATCAGCTGACTTTTTATGGTCTGGTTTGCTTACATTGTTCTGCTGTGCTTGCCTGTGCTACATTAATGTATCATTCAACATTTAATATAGTCATTTAGAGTTATACTGGTCCTTGCTGGTTGTAGGTTTGCAGAAAAGCTGTTAAGTACAAGTTGCCATATACTTTAAATAACATCTGTTATGTTTTAATGGATAATTTCAGTTGATGTTGTCTGCGTTACTTGTTTGTATTTTAAATTGATACAATATATGGCAGAGTGTTTTATTCAACCATTCTTCCTCCTCTTGCAGGAACAGTGACAAAGAAGAAAGTCGCTGGCCAGCTTCAAATCTACCCGTACGACAGGAGGCTGTTTCACCCGGGAGTCTCATGTCCAACCTGCCAGCTCATCAAACCTGCTCGCTCCAAACACTGCAGTGAGCACCCATGTCATTTTTTTTTTTGTAAATGTGTTTAACACCACCACCTTGACACAGGTCTGTATTTACTGTAGTGGTTAACATGTACACTCTGTGTTTCAGGGCTCTGCGACAGGTGTGTGCAGCGTTTTGACCACCACTGTGTCTGGGTGAACAACTGCATCGGAGCTCAGAACACGCGGTACTTCCTGCTGTACCTCTGTAGCGTGTGTGCCATGGCGGGCGACATGGCCGTACTCACAGGAGACATGCTGCTCCACGCCGTGCTGCGGTCAGGGCTTCTGGCAGCCAGTTATATAGACGAGTTCGGCCAGCAGCAGCCAGCAGGGTTTATGTTTGTTGTACAGGTGAGGCTTGGTGCTGTTGACATACTTAATGGTATATGCATCTGCTGTAGCCATTTGTATTTCCAATTTATCTTGATGTTTGTTAATGTAGCAATTTTCTCCCCCCCCCCCTCCTCCCTTAGCATCTGTTCCTGACTTTCCCCCGAATTATCTTCATGCTGGGATTTCTGGTCTTTGTCTTCTTCCTCCTGGCGGGTTATGCCCTCTTCCATTCCTACCTCGCTCTCGTCAACCAGACCTCCAACGAGTGGTACAAAAGTCGAGGATACTTTTGTCAGCACTGCCACCCAACTACAACAGCGGACCACCTCTGTAACCCGGCCCCAGATCACTCCAAAAGATACTACTACAGCAGGGGGATACTACCAAACCTGGGAGAGATCTTCTTCCCTCTAAAATCGGTTCAGAAAAAAGACATTTAAAAAAATGAATACTGCCTTGTATGTTTTTATGCTGCATTTACTGTACCATCCCCCATGGGGTTAAGTGTCCTTAAGAACTGCTGCTGACAGACGATATAAAGTTTGTGTGTGATTTCTTAAAGGCCTCTGGAGTTATGACTAATTAGAAAGCATACTGTCACTCAAAAGTGCTCCCTGTTGGATCAAATCCTTGTCCATTAATTAAATACTGTAGCGGAAAGCTCAGGACATCTTATTCTGATTTTCTTTTCTTTTTTAAATCCTTTGCCTGCAATCAACTGACTCATTAGCACTTTCATACTGACAACACATGTCCTACTTTTCAGTGAACATACAGAAGGCCTCACATTTCAATACATTTCAATTTCAATACAAATCTTTATCAGGCATGGATCAACTTAAAGTTTGAGCAGATACAAATTAATTAGTTTAAAAATAACTGCTTACAATTGGAAACGTCAGGCCAGCAGGGAGAGTTTAACACCGTTATATAACTTTGACCCTGAGTTTTAAAACATCACACAATTGGATGATACACAATATTTAGCATAAAACTCAAACTCATGGTTTTTCTGTTTTGGTTCTGTGTTTGGCCTTCATGTAGTCTATTTGGGGATTGCACACTGTGTGTAGTTGTCTTTTTACTTTTCTTTTTGTTTGACCACCTGTAGGCCTCCCATTAGCTGAGGAGGATTTAACTGAAGACAAACAATAGCTGTACATCAATAACTCTAAAATAATAAAACACCAGAATATTTTTATTTTGTATTTGTTTAAAAGTTATATCCTAGGTTTGGATAGGACGGTGAGGATATTGGATTTACTGGAGATGGGGTGACTGTTCACACAGTTTGTCTATGTGTGGGTTTCCTGTGGTTCCTGTCTCTTTAAGCCGGTACGGAAGTGTGGGCAGTAATGGAAAGGAAGAAAAGATAGGAGGTGGTGACTGTGCATTAAAACATGATAAAAATATTTGTATGGACAAAAAATATTTTTGGCATGGTGATCAATTGTGAACATCAAGAATAGAATTACTTTATTGATCCCAAACAGGGAAATTGTGGCGTTACAGCAGCAGGTTATCCAAACACACAATATGAGCAAAAAACACAATATGAGCAAAAAAACACAATATAATATTAAATACAAAGTAAATAAGCCTTAAAAATATCAAAACTAAGAATGGGAATATATACAAGCAGGAATTAACTAAACACTACTAGTCTAAAGTCAAAAGTGGAAAGGGAAAGTCAGAATGAATGGTGGTGCTGGATGCCGCCATGTTTGTTGATGTTATTGACATCATTGGAGAATAAATTGATCACACTCTGAGGAAAGGACTTGTTCAAACTCAGATGGTTGGGGGACTTTACATTGGATATCAGCATGATAAGAAAAGATAACTTTTGGTGGACTATGTGTTGCAGTTTCAGATAAGATCCAGCAGATGGCGGTAAAGCAACGCTTATTGATGTCTACCGCCCTAAACTCCAACAGAAGAAGAAGAACGGCAGAAACGCTGTAACACCTAACACGGTGAAAGGTCAGGGTTTATATGAAGCAAATGTCAACCGGTCTCCAGAGCAGGTCGCTACTTTCCTTTTCAAGACAACTTGGGGGTTAAACATTAAAACTACATGACGGATAAAGCTGTCGCTCGCCACTTTGGACGGTAAGAAAAGCAAGAGCTACCCGGCACGTACCGTCCTGTTCCGTCCTGACAGCTAGTCATACTTCATTCAAACTTGACAGCGGGGGGGGGGGAGCAGCTCAGTTTAAAGACTCTCTCCTGACATGTCTGCCTCAAAGTGCTCACGTCTGAGCGGGACTCTGGTGAAGCAGCTCCTGGACTCGGTGGACAGCGTCCTGTTTGACTGTGATGGGGTCATCTGGCGTGGGGACCAGGCCGTCCCCGGAGCCTCTCAAGTCATCAACCTGCTCAAAGAAAACGGAAAGAAGGTCTTCTTCGTCACCAACAACAGCACGAAGACGAGGAAGATGTACGCCGACAAGATGTCTAAGCTGGGCTTTAACGTGAAGGAGGAGGAGGTGTTCGGGACCGCGTACTGCTGCGCCACCTACCTGAAGACGGTGTGCAAGCTGGAGGGCAAAGTGTACCTGGTGGGGAGCGACGCCATGAGGCAGGAGCTGGAGGCGGTGGGGATCCAGCAGACCGGGGTGGGACCGGACCTCGTCTTCGGGAAGCAGCTGGACTGGGCTAATGTGCCCCTGGATGCAGATGTGAAGGCGGTGGTGGTGGGCTTCGATGAACACTTCAGCTACATGAAGATGAACAGGGCCCTGCAGTACCTGAGCCAGCCGGGCTGTCTGTTCGTGGGGACCAACAGGGACACCAGGCTGCCTCTGGAGGGGGGCAAGGCCGTCCCAGGTGAGGGAGACTCTCCTCACTCAAATCAAAAGCTTAGAAACAGAAAAAAGAGTTAAAGACACTTCAGGCTCTTACACACACTCAACCTTTAAGTTTGGCCTTACTTTTAACTTTTCAGAACAAAGTCAAATACATGATGCAATAGGCGTAAATCCTAAACTGAAACCTGAATAATCTTTTTAAATGTACTTAAAGTGGACTTACAATGTCAGAACAGTAATTTAATTATTTAATTACAGTCTTTTAGGTCTTTTTCCTTTAATCTCAGTCATACTCAGTCATAAAAGTGTCATACTTAATGTTAGCATTATGGGCTGAAGAGAAAGGTATCGGCCAAAATATTACTTAAATCAGTGGTTCTCAACTGGTCTAGCCGCAGGACCCACCACCAGCTCCTACAGTACATGAAACATCGCTGGACAAATTCCTTTTTCTTTTTCTTTCAACTTACAATTTTGAAATTGTGCAAAATTTGGACCCAAGATGGAACAAACAAAGAAACTAAACATGTTGAAAAAAGGGCTTCACATACTTTGGACGACTCACTGTAAGTGGCTCCGTGATCAACTTTTGGGGTCTCGACCCAGCTGTTAAGAACCAGTGATTTAAAGCTCCTGTGAGGAACTTTTGGTTTCTGTCGATTTCACCCCCCCCCCCCCCCCCCTGCTGCTGGCAGTTTTAGATTTTTAGTTTTCAAAAAGAAAAGTCTAGCATTGTGCAGTTATTGAGTTTGGCTGACACCTACCCCCCCCCCCCCTCAGCAGTTTCATAAATATGCTGATGGTCTTGTTCTCTTGAAAGTCATAAGACATCAATATTCATTTCAGTCTGTCTCCTAACCTGCTTAAAACAACATCAGCTCAGTATTTCCATCAAAGAGGCCTGACGCTATTGATAAAAAAATGACTTTCTTAAGAATGCCTGAGATCTTTGTTGGGATCTAACCTTTTGCAATCATTTTGTATGTTCTGTTTTTACGACATACTAAAATAAGATAAAGTCTTATCTCTCTGCTTCCCATCAAGCCCCAACCACACAGATATTCAGGAGTTTTCAAGGACTACAATAACTTAATATAGAGTTTACATTGGGTTGAATGAACCAAATAATCTAATTTCTGCTCTTTAAAGGCTTTATATATATTTTTTGATCCAGCAGATGTCGCCCTTGAGAACCAGCATGAAACCAAAACAACTTGCGCTGCATTGTTGTGTTAGCATGCTAATGCTAGCGATCTTTATTATGCTCGTATCTTCACTCTGCATGTAAATTTACCTGAAATGAGCGTGATCTAGAAACACAGTTAAGCAGTGAGTACAGTATGTTATTCTTCTTTTCTCTAGTCCCTCAATTAAACAACTTTTATACGTGAGGGGAGGAGTCAGCCGGCTGTCCTGACGATGTAAACAAAGTGAAGATAGGACTCTGAAAACATCACAGACAGTGGGACTCGGGTGTTACACCCATTGTAGACAGTCATGACTCACAGAGTTATTTTCAGAGGATATACTTGATTTCTATTACATTTAAGTGTGAAACATCACATATAAAGCCTTTAAATTAAGATGATTCACCTTGATTGGTGCTGTGATCTAAATTAGATGATGTCACCAACAGTTAGAGAAGGAGTGATTTGCTTTCCTCTATAGAGTTGAATAGAACTGTCAATTGGTAACACCAAATTGAATTGAAATTGTTCCAACTTGCAGAGTAATGATGGAAAAGTTCATCCTCATCCTCCTCCTCCTCCTCCTCCTCCTCCTCCAGGTACCGGCTGCCTGCTGAAGGCCGTGGAGACAGCGGCCCAGTGCGAGGCCCAGACGGTGGGCAAACCAAACCACTTCATGTTCGACTGCGTGGCCTCCCAGTTCGGCGTGGAGCGCGACCGCTGCCTGATGGTGGGCGACCGCCTCGACACGGACATCCTGCTGGGCTCCAACTGCGGCCTCAAGACCCTCCTCACTCTCACCGGGGTCAGCACTGTGGCAGACGCCGAGGCCCATCAGAAGAGCGGCTGCGCTGAGAGGCACGGCATGGTGCCGGACTACTACGTGGACAGCATCGCGGATCTCCTTCCGGCTCTGCAAGGATGAAAACCGTCCCACACAAAGCTGAGCTCCGTTTGATATCAAAGGGAAATCATTTATTTTTTTCTGTAAAGTCTACGATTTAAAAAGATCTTTATAAACAAAGTCATGACATAGCAGCTAGCTGCTGTGTGGCAGGAGAGACACAGACTATTAAACTAAAAAAAAACACTCTTTAAAGGGGTCATATTATGCTTTTTCTGGTTTTATATGCTCTTTAGTGTGTTTTCCAAGTGTCCTGTGCATGTTTAGGCACATTTATGTGCAGAAATTCAAAGTCTGCGGAAACGCGGCTTCTCCTACGTCCTCCTGTTAGCTGTAGCATTAGCTGCATGTAACGCTCGGTTCTAGCCCCCCTTGAAAAAAGTTTGCCAGTGTGACGTCATTGTCAGTGTGAGATCACTGATCTAAGCCCATTGGCTCGTTGTGGCCTGCGGTAGCACAGTAGTGCTAAGGTGCTAATGTTTTTGCTCAGCCCTCGGAGCCAAAGTGGCTGCATTCCCAATATGATAAAAGGGGCGTGACATTTCCGAGAACTGGGGACTCTGAACGTGGGCACTTCAGAGCCTTAGAGAGAGAGTCAGAAGCGAGCCGGTGCATGGAGCGGCAGTTCATGAAAACAGACACTTTTTTGAACTTTAGCTATTGTGAACATACTTTAGTAGGTATATAGATTAAATATATGAACCCCAAAAAGAGCATAATATGACCTCTTTAAACCTTGTATTTTAACAAATTACAATGATTTATTACTAATAATATATGATCAAAAGCCAATGTTGTTTCAGTGTTACATTTTAAAGATGTATGTTCCCTTTTTTTGTGGGGAGGGGGGGTGTGAGGTACTGTTGCGCCCTTCCTCTGTCTGTGATGCAATCTCTAATCAGCTACAACATCTGAAGAAAGAAAATGTGTACTTTGAGGTTTACACTGAACTGGTCTGACCTGAGCTCTCTTGTGTTTGATGGTGCTTTACGTATTCGACAAAGTGTTTGAACGTTTGCAGAGACATTCACGGGAGGGTGAAAGTGAGACCAATTTTTGTTGTCGCGTCTCGTCACCGGTGAAACGGTGATAAGCATTGTGTCGTTCTGTTTTTTTTTTTTGCAGGTGCCTCGATCTTCCCTACACCACCTGTTTCTTGTGACTAGTCAACACACTGTCAGCAATACTTCTAATAAACTTTATTTATATAGCACTTTTCAAAACAGGGTTACAAAGTGCTTATTATTAATAATACTTGACTCGATAATAAAAAGAACTATATTCAAGAAAATCCACTCTCTGTGACTGTAAATTCTAAAACTGCAAACCTTTCTCCACGTGTCCTCCTCTCCTTTCCTCCTCTCCTCTCCTCCTGCGCTTAAAGTCACCTTGGTCTGTCATCGACTGGACGCTGCAACAGTTGGAATCCCTTATCACCTCTCACCTGATGACAGAGGTTCCAATGCTGCGCCCCCTTTGTCCTTTGTCTGGTTTTTTGGGAGGGCCTATTCCTCACATGTAACTGCACATTTTTAGAGCAGTAGGGGTGAGGGGGGGGGACATGCAAAGAAAAGATGGATAATCTAATCTGATGTCATATTGGGCAGGGAAGATGTAGAAAAGAAGAAAATTGCGGGACGACAAGACTTGGAAAAAAACGTTTGGCAGAAGTTTTAATATGGAGTGGGTGCAGCTTTGGGAGGGAAACAGTGAGACTTAGGAAGGAGGAGGAGGAAGGAGTTGGGGGGGTGGGGAGGGTAGAGGGGGGTCTGCAGGGGACAAAGAGAAGCTGGTCAGGTGTACTGAGTCTCATTCACCCTGGTCATGACCGCAGCTCAATGCTGGTAGTTCTGCGAGCAGGGAGCAGAGTGAGTGAGGGGCAGTCACGGGACGCAGGATGGTGAAGTGTTGGAAACATTCTGACAACAGTTTGGAGGAAGCACAGTGCACGGTAAGCAGAACAGCAACTCCTGACTGAGCAGAGACATGTTTGTTTGCTATTTCCGAGGAGGAAACATTTTTTTGCCTATACATGCAACTTCCAAGAAAGGCAGCAGCAGCAGCAGCCGCATGATAGGATGAGACAACTCAGTTAACTGTTTAAATCCTATAACACTGGTTCTCTGATGTTTGTGTTCAGGATGGGGGGCTCGGCCGCATCCCCCAAGTCCTACTTTCCACAAAAGGCATTCTGGTTCAGCCTCTCTGCTTCTCTGCTCCTCATCATCACTGTCCTCAGTGTGATGATGCACCTCAGGGTGCCACAGCCTCGTCCTCAGGTACGTGACCATCCCTGCACTCAGCGATGTTAACACGCAGGAGTTTGTCTGAACTGTTCGGTAACATTTTTCAAGGGTTTGATTTTTGTAGTCTTCACAGATTGTCCGAATCACGGTTCCAGATCAGACTGGAGTCCTCATCAACCAATCAGCTGTTGTGGACCAGAAGAATCACCTGGTGACCTTTTCTGTGACCTCAGCAGCAAATCAGACGTCGACTGTGCTCTTTGATATGAAACGTGTAAGTCTAGTTTCTGAATGTGTAATAAAAGATATGAAAGTAGCAGTTCAGCAGTTCAGAGAGGGAATAGCACGTGACTGTCTGCTGCTGTGTTTCAGGGTTTGATATGTTACAAACCTGCAGAGCATCAGAGCTGCTTCCTGCGTCAAATGGAGAAGTCTGACTATGACAACGTGAACTCCCTCCTCCACCAGTCAACGGACAAGGTAGGCCGCACTTAGAAACTTATTAGCCATGATTATATAGGCTATTGTAGCATCAACCCACAGATGGATTAGTGACTTCAAAGAGCTCCAAAACAACTAAACAATACACACACGGACCAAGAACAACTACACAGACACAAAACAACAACAAACTATGCAAAGACACACATATGACAAAAAAGAGACACTTAATGAGCACAAAAAATGACTAAAACTGAAATAACAACACAAGGAGACACACTGAAAACAACCAACCACCAAGAGACTCTAAAGAACTAAAGAGAAATGCAAACCATCATAAAAGAGACACAAACAACCACCAGGAGACATAAAACCACAAACAAAAGATACAAACAACCACATCTACATCATGACCAAGAATAAAGACAAACATTAATCTACCAGAAACTATATACAAATGCTAAATGACAACAGACACAAACAAACTAACTCTTACCCTCAAAAAGATTTGCAAAACAACCACAAAGACACGAAATGACAACTTAAGACAAAATCGTCGACCAAAAAGACCACAAACAATTACAAAGTTATCACAAATAAATGAAAAATGTCCAGAAGAGAGATAAACAACAGACTCAAGGCAAAGACGATAAAGACTGGAAATATAAAGCAAAAGACACCAAACAACTTTAAAGAGACAGAGACGAGCGTGAAGACAAACAGCTGAAGATGTGCCTCACATCCATGAAGGGAAACAAATGACTTAAACGATAGACAATAGACTGCCATGAAGCCGTTAACAACTTCAAAAGTGTCAAAACTTCAATTAAATCAGAATCAGAATCAGAATCTGGGTTTATTGCCAAGTACATTTACACATACAAGGAATTTGACTTGGTGTATTGGTGCTCAACAATGAACAAGGAAATAAAGCAGAACTAGCAACAACTTAAATAATACAGTATAAGAAGATATTACAATATATAAAATAGAATAAAAAAATGTAAAATGTAAAAAATAACAAAACAAAATGTGGTGAAATGTAGGAGCTGTGCAGTGGACTATGAGAACGTTTGATATCAAAGGGAATCATTTAAAGACACTTCGTAAAATGCTGTCGTAACAAAGAAACACAAACAACTACCATACGACAAAGTACGACACGATACTATACAATACGACATGATATGCGATGATAAGACACGACACGATACAACACAAGACGATACGATACACTTTATTGTTCCATTGGGGAAAATTGTCTTTGTCTTAAAGAGCTTCCAAACATTCAGCTGCTTCCACTAGAATCAATGAATAAAAAACAACAGAAAAACACATCCACATGTAAACAGAAAGGCACATACCAATTCAAAACAACTCGACATTTATTGCATAAGATCTGCAAAAAGCACAGCATGAGAGATAAAAAGGAAAAAGAATATGATAACATATAGGATCACCATTAAACTATTGCAACACCCACACAGCATTATGAAACATTATTCAGGATTTTGATTGACGCTGGTAAAAAAAATAGTTTTTAGAGCGGTTCAGTTTACATTAGAGGGACTCTGTATCGTCTGCCAGAAGGTAGAAGCTCATACTCAGAGTGGAGGAGTAACTAGAGAAACACAAACAGCTTTAAAAAAAAAAAAAGATTCAAACCAACCAAAAAGAGACAAAAATCAATAAAGAAGCAAAGAAATGAAAACAACCACATCAAAAAAAGAAAAGACAAAAAAGGGTCAGTCCCCCTACTCGCATTGGTCGCAGGTTTCGACTCCTGATCCTGACTCTATTTAGTGTGTGTCTCTTCAGCTGTCCAATCTAATGAAGGCAAGGAGCCTGAAAATAATCTGAAAAACATAAAACAACTAACTAACCCTAACCCTAAACCCATAATGACTCAAACATGTGTGACTAAAAGTTTTTCTTGATGCATGCAGAGAGGAGACAAGAAAACATATTTATATTTTCATTTCATTGTACAGTGTTCCCCTTTGTTATTTTTTGTATTATATCTTTGTTTTAATACAGTGTATAACTTCTGTACAGTTTATTTTAATTTACTTAGCTGTTACTATAACTTATTTATTTTTATTTTATTTTTACTTTTCTACTCTATTTTCTTATTTTGCTATTCTATTTTATATATAATTCTAACTTTTTTGTAGAAGCTGACTCAGGGAGAAACACACAAGAATTCCAATGTACCTGTACTGTCCTGTACCTGTGCAAATGGCAACAAACATCCATTCTATTCTATTCTATGCAGGAGGGCTGTGGGGGTCTTTAGTGTGACCTTACCCGGAGGTCTATTGTTTCTTAATCGTTCCTTGGCTCTCTCTTATTGCATTCCAGATATCTGAGACTCCCAAGCTCAACATTAAAAGGGCAAATTAAGTTTGAAAAAAAAAAAAGAGAGTTGCAGTTGCCCTTTTGCCTCTCCCAGGTGTTCATGAAGCCTCACTAATGTGTGAACTGGCATTTCTGACCGCAGCTCATACCTTTACCGCACCGAGCCAGGACCTGCTGGGTTTCCTTAAAGGTTTCTACATGACTTCCTTCCAAAGAGAGGAGGAGGGGTTAAGTGTACAGGTCCTTAAAGAGCAGGATAATCTTCCTCTCTCTTGCCTCCACGGCTGAATTCCTCAGCGTATCTGATTCCTGCACGGCCCCCCTCGGCGTGCCCGGTATCTCCTTACAGGAGGCCATACAGCAGCGGGTCCTGAGCACTGGAGCGGGCACAATGGCCGCTCTGTTGTTGGGGCTTTTCAGCTTTTTAAGGCTCCTCTGTTGGATCAAAACACAACGTGATGCATTGGTTTGGTCTGGGAAGGGGGCCTTGTGTTTGTCTTCTGTGTGGCAAACACCTACAATCTGTGATATTCAAGTCCACAGTTAGTTTTTGAATTGAGCCCTTTTTGCCCTCAGAGATGATACGTGTGAGACTATCTTCAATCTTAATAGCGATTTGGACAATATGTGCAAGGTGAATGGCTGCGACCGAAGATTTGATCTCAGTCAAACCTGAGGTGGAGTTCTGTTTCTCTGCCTTCTTCATCTTTTTGCATAAAAGCCCATTTCACTGCTTCAAAAGATGACTTCATCTCCTTTGTGTCTGTCATTTTCATTGGGTCATTAAATAGATGATAGGACAGGGCTAGCTGTGGTCAGTCCCTCCTTTCTGCAGCACAATGCTCTTCTTGGTTGGATTCCAGGTTGCTATGTGATTGACTTGAGCCTAACAGAATTTTAAGTGGTCCGTTATCAGAGCCAATCAAAGCTGTAAAAGGTGCTATTACACACAGAGAGTAAATGAGCAAATGTATTGACTTCACTGGCCAAGATGTCAGGCTAATAATAGACGCTCGAGTTCAGTCTTGCTTTTCTTCTTCATATCTCCCTCTAATTCATTCATTTCATTTGCCATGTGAGTTGAATATGATTCCTAACGCCCGGTTTATTAAACTGCAGCTCACTCATCGTTGTCATACTGTCCTCTGCAGAGCCAGCTAGAGCTGTCAGGGAACGACACCCAGAGGCAGATGGAGTTCCTTGGAGTGCTGGCGACCAGTCAGGTGGACGTGTCCACGCTGGAGGAGCCTCTTCAAGCTCTGTGTCAGGACAGATCCATCCACTGGACCAGGAGGGCAGAGGGTGAGAAGAGCCAGGATGTTGATTCAGTCCCACTAGTACTGCTGGAACAGAAATTGTGAAAATCCAGCAACTTTTAAAAACATCATGTCCTCCTGTCTCACAGCTTAGTGCTGAAATCTATAAAGCCCAGCAGTGACACTAACCTTAGCCTTTTAAAAAATAAAAAATAAACATTTGAATATAGTTTTTGTATCCTCTTCATACAGGACTGCTCTGAACAGGGGAGGGAAATCAAAGTATTTTAAGATGAAAGCATTGGTTTTGTCCATCTATGGGATCGGCTGTCTTTAAATATACAGAACAATGTGAGTCTCATCTTATTAAACAAAAGTCCAACAAGTCATAAAGATGTAGTTTTTTGTTTAAGTAGTGATTTCTGGTTGAATAGACGTGGTTGAAACTCCTGCACATGAACCAAAAAGTGTTGATGATGTCTACTCCTTTACTGTGATACAATTTAAACAGACAGCTGCCAGCCAATCACAAGCAAAGAAGATACAATATCACAACTTAATGATTAAAGAGCGTTAAAATCCTTTACTTCAAGTCAAGATTAATCAGGCTGCAACTTGCAATCACTTACATTACAATTATTACATTGAATCTTTTGGTTATGAAAAGTAGGAAAATAGTTATAACATAACTTTGTAATATACCGGAGCCCAAGATGATATCTTGTATCTGTTTTATTTGACAAGAATATAAACAAAAGAGCAAATCTTCACGTTTGGGGAGCCAAACCAGATCTTTATTTTGAAGCTTTCCTTGAAAAAAACTGCAATTATGAATCCTTTACCAAGATAAATATTCAGTTACTGGTATGTTCTGGTAAACAACAAATTGCTTCTGTATCTATATATACTATGTATTTTTAAGATTTGTGTGGGGTATTTCATGCCTTTAATTACAAACGGGACAGTAGATAGGTTCAGGAATTGGTTGAGAGAGAGAGAGAGAGAGTAGAGAACCACATGCTGTTCAGTGTATGATTTTCGTTTAGTTTGATGCTCTTATTTTTGGGTCAAATGTTTTATTTTTGATGATCCGTTCAAGTCCACTTAACCACTGTGACCACTTAACCACCACAGGATTCATTCTTTCACTCTCCACAGTCACTGTAAATCATACTCTGTAGTCTTTAGTCAGATGGCAACCATTGAGTCAGGATGTAACCTAAGCTAAATGTTGGACTTGCACTGAGCTTTTCACAGTTGTAGCATTTAGAGGCTGAATTAAACAACAGACCAAATGTGGAGCTGGTGACAACATTTCCTCTCACAGGTGAACTATTAACACCAGGAAATAACCCGCATGTGAGGACAGAAACTGTGTCGACACTATGAACACTGTTTCCTCTAAGTTTGTATCATGTCCAGGATTTCTTCACTTTTTTTCTCAGCTTCTGTTTGTCTATGTGTTGTTGATTTTTTTTCAGGCCCGGGCAAACAGCGACTGGTCTACTTCTGCATCGACATCTGCTTTCCCAGCAACATCTGCGTGTCTGTGTGCTTCTACTACCTGCCCGAGTGACTGTGTTATTCTCCTCCCGGCCCTAAAGATCAGGGAAACAAAGTTGTCTTTTTATCTCCCTCCTCAAGAAAAAAAAAAAAACAGAAAGAAGAAACCGAACAAAAAGCAGCTTTGAGCGTTTCCTTTGTGCCATACAGCCGCCAGTAAACCAGTGAAGCAGCCAACCCTCCCAGTCCATTTCCGAGAGAGAAGAGATGGGAGACAGGCTGTCACTGTTATCACTAGAGCCTCATCGTCACCCCCTTCATGTCTAATACCCTCTCTGGTGGCACACTGTGGAGATTACAGGAGAAAGATCCCCTTTTTTTTTTTTCTTTTTTGTATTTCCTGTAACTCTCTGCTGCTGTGTAATTATGTGTAACTGTCCCTTTTGCAACAAGAGTGTTTTTCTGCTGCCCAATAAAAGACTGTTGTGTAAATCTTGGCAGATTATTCTTTATTGGACTGAAAACAAGAATGAAAAAGACTTTAATTCTGAATCACTTTATGCACATCATCTTTATTTCATCGTCATGCTGTCAAAGAGAAAAAACACAGTCACAACAAAACTTTCATTTTTTTTTTAAGTTTTATTTGATTCAGTGGGGTCTCCCTTCAGATTAAAAACTCTTTTATGAGAGAGCCCGCCAAGATGGTACACGATGACATGCTGTAGAATAAAAGCCAGCAGAACAAATGAATGTACATTATCTTAGTTCATGTGAGCGGTGTGGTCCTTTAGGTGACATAAATAATGTGCACTATAAAAACAAAGGGTTGAAAAAGGGCTTGTATGGTGTAGTTATGATGCATTTTATTCAAACGTTTGATAATATGGGTACAGAAGGTTTCCTGTCTGGAGTAAACTGCTGTGATTGGCCATTCAACTTGGAGTATCTTCTAAATGTTCATTCTGTGCTGAACACTTAGACGCACCTGACACCGAGGAGCCTCATCTTCCTCTTTTCTCCAGGCAAATGGATTCCGTCACATCCCACCCCCACCTCAGGGTGCTGAGGCACATCTTGTCAAAGAGTCTCTTTCTCGTCTGTCCTTGTTTACCTCCGCAGAGTGTCTGTGATCTCCCGTCTCCCTCCTCCTCTTCAGCCCAGCACGCTGTCGTTAAAGGCCAAACACACCACGGCCTTCTGGTGCCCGCTGTACTCCCTCTTGATCTCGCCGGTCTCCACGCACCACAGGCGAGCCAGGTTGTCTGAAGAGGCTACGGGGTGCAAACAGAATGTTGTGAATTTAAATGACCTTAAAGTCTTTTTACTGTATACTTTTACCCCGTTGACTTTTTAGATTACTTTTTATCAACACGGGTTTTTAAGAGAGATCATCTTTATTTCTGAAAAACAGCAAGACACTTTCTGCAAAAAAAAGACACTGCAAATTAAATGGAGCACCAGAGCTAAGTTTGCATTACTGCAGTGTAGGAGAAGTTGTTCAAATATACAACAGGCTGTAAACGTCTGAATTCGATCCAAATATTTCTTCTTTTTTTTTTCTAATCTGAAAATCTACAGCACCTCTATTGTGTGCTTTTCTTAAGGCCTTTTTGTTATGATAAATAGTTAGTATAGATATATATATAGATAGTATATCGACATGGCAGGGCTCATGTACTGACCAGTGACGATGTACTGGGAGTCTCCAGAGAAAGCGCAGTCCCACATCCAGCCTCTGGACGTCTCCCCGGGATTGTTGCTCTTGATGCTCAGCTCTGTCATCAGAGAGAAGTTGGACGTCCTCCAGATCTTACAGGTCTGGTCTGCAGAGCAGGTGGCCAACAGCCTAGGGGGGGGGAGAAGGTCACAAAAACCACTCATTAGAAACAGCAGAGCAGGAGGCTACATTTCTGAATTACAACCATACCTAAAAAAAAAAAAATCACACAACAGCATTCCATTATCCAAAAGGGCAGATGTGGTATAAAAAAATCAACTAATCTCAAGCCCTTCTAGCTTTAATAATATGACATTTTTATTCAAGAGGTTGGATGTATGACGAAAAGTTCACTTACGTGGAATCAGGGCTAAATTTGCAGCGGAGCGAGTAGCGTTTGTGTGCGGGGATTTTAGTCTTGGGAATGAGTTGCGTCACCTCATCTCCGATTCCTCCAGCGAGGTTCCACACGTAACAGTTTCCCTGATACCAAGTCAAGAAGGACATTAGAAGGATTATGTACACACACATCAAAGTGTCGATAGACAGCCCTGCTTTCAGTCTATTTGGATACTGACCGAGCTGTTGACCGCCGCCATGTAGCTCGCGTCTGGGTCGATGTGAACCGAGTTGACCGAGACCTCTGGCTCGGGGATCAGCTGTTCATTGTGGTCGGTTTTCAGATCCCAGATGTGGATCACACCACTCTGGTCTCCAACCATCAGCTCTGCCTGAAAAAAACAAAACAAATGCTGTTAATTAAGACTTCAGGCATCGGGAAGTATCTGAATAAAAATCACAGTAAAACAAACAAGTCAGTAAAGTATAGACTAATGTTGTCGTACTCGAGATCGGCCGGTCTCGAGAACACTTTTTGAAGGTCTTAGTCTCGTCTCGGAAACGAAAGCATTTTTACTCAGCTTGTCTCGGTCTCAGACTGGACGGACTCCACTTTTTTAAATCAAGACCGGTCAAAACCACCACCACTGATAGGCTATTTGTCCACATCGTTTCTGTGATTAGAAGGAACACAACACTTTCTAAAAGAACAGATAACTTTAATTCATTTGCAGTTTGATTTATCCCGCAACCTTCTAAGTGTTACGTCTAAGTGAGTGACACGCCCCCTGCACACAAGATGAGGACTTTTCTGTGATATTTATGGTCCATGTCTTGTCGCAGTCTCGTCCTGCCTTGGTCTCAGAGCGCTCTGGACTCAGGTATGTCTTGCTCTCGGTTAGTGTGGCCTAGACTACAACACTGGTATAGACTTTTCATGAAAGTGTGTACATTGAATGTCTCACCTGGTTGGGATGCAGGCACACACAGTTGATCGGAGCGTTGACCTGAAATATTCTCTGACACTGTAGGTTTCTTGACCTGCGAGGAGCAGCAGGGGGTCACAGTTAGTTCTGCCGAGCATAGAGTGATATTGTTTTAGCAACTGTGTGCTGCCAGAGAGCCGTACCTGAGGTCCCATATGCGCGCCATGCAGTCTTCTCCTCCCGTGTACATCCAGCGACCGTCTTCATGGAAGCCCACGGACGTGATGTTTTTGCTGACGCCATCGTAGTTGATTACCGGGTTGGGGTTGTTTGAATTTAGGTCGTACATGCGGATGTGCTGATATCCTACAATACAGAGTTTAAATCAGAATGAAACACAGAACAATAATATACAGCAGAAGAATAAGAAAGAGAAAGAGAAATATTCTTAGCCAACCTGCAGCTGCGATCATGCTCCTGTCAGGTGTGACCTCAAGAGAATTCACTTGCTGGAAGTAGATGTTAAGGAAGTTGATCTTTTATGTCCACAGCTCAGTTATATTTGATGAATATGTATATTCTCTCTATGTGACAAAAAACAAGGGGCTAACAGTAGTGATGTTGTTGTCTGAAGACTAGATTCTGTTGTTGTGACAGTAAACAAAAGCTCCTTTGACAGCACCCATGTAGTTTTCTACACACACTGGGGTATTTTCTGAATCAGGGTGCCCTATAGTAAACAGAACTATTATTCTTAGAATCATTTCACCAGAAGAGTATAGCAATAGACCAACTTTTCCTGCTGTCTGTATTTGTATTTTTTATTTTATTTATTATTCAAATCTTGGACTCTCCACATGCACTATCAAACCTCTGCAAATGATACAAAATGCAGCAGCACGACTGGTTTTCAACCTTCCTAAAAGAGCACATGTCACTCCACTGTTCATCTCCTTACACTGGCTCCCAGTTACTGCTTGCATTGAATTTAAAACTCTGCTGCTCGCTTACAAAACAGCGACAAAAACGGCTCCTCCTTACTTTAACTCTCTCATCCAGGTCTACACTCCCTCCTGCCCACTACGCTCTGCCAAAGAAAAGGCGTCTGATCCAACCTTCACAACAGGGTCCTAAGACGCTGACTAGACTCTTCTCCTCTGTCGCCCCCCGGTGGTGGAATGAACTTCCAAAGTCCATTTGATCTGCAGAGTCCCTCTGCACCTTTAAGAAAAAGCTAAAGATCCAGCTCTTTCATGAATACCTACTAACTTAATGATGATGGTCTCCATATTATTGATGATGATGATGGTAATGACGATGGTTTTTGTTTGATAACGATGACTTATAAGATAGTTTCTATACTGATTAGAGCGCTCTAGAAACTGCCCTCAATGTTGTGCTTTGCCTCTGGTCACTTCCTGTCAGCACCTGTGTGTCCAATCAGCTGATCGTTTGCTCTTACTGACATTGTTCCCTTTTTTCTAGATCCTTGCTTGTGTTGTTCTTACTCTCTGATGTACGTCGCTTTGGATAAAAGCGTCTGCTCAGTGAATTGTAGAATTGTACATTATTACAAATTGGGAGTTTATTGGATTTTCCCCCCAGTTTATTAAAGTTTAGTTAAATACAAGAGAAGTATAAAAAGCGTATATTTTCACAGAGAGGATACAGAGTCCTGGTGCTGGACCGTCCTGGTGCAGATCCCACTGTGAGCCTGCCAGAACCGGACCGTGTGGTCGTATCCAGCCGTGGCCAGGATGACCGGGTCGCTGCCCACCGTCCCCTGGTTCACATTCATGCTCCACTGCTGCTGTCTGTCACTCTCACCTCACAGGTGTGTCTGACCCTGCAGAGAGGTACGGGGACATTCAGCCACAGCTCTTTACAAAATGTTGATTTACTTAAACATTAAAATAAATATATTAATTGTTAAAGTCATGGTAGAAATTAAAGTTAAAACGTTCATGCTAACGTTAGCAAACTAGCCTAGCTGCTCGGGAGCTAAAAGCGGCTCAAACAATAACAGACGTTTCTACTTCAGAGGCTAACACATCTCGGCTACGGTGTTATGTCGCTGTAGGGCATTAAATGTTGTTGTTCGACGACTTAACACATTAAATAAGACAAGTTTTGATCACCTTATTTGTTGGTGTTGACGACGAATCGGTACGTCCCCTGTAAGTGTCCCCAAAGAAACATGTGACGAGGATTCTTAAGTTCCGCTTTGATCAACGGGGATTTGCCGCCACCTACCGACCAAACACCTTCACTGCAGCCTGAACGTCTTAGTCTTTTAGGGCTCCCTGACTGATTGAGGTCAATCCGAACTTTATTGTCATATTATCCTGTTAAAGTGTAACATATATAAAGTGAATAACTGGTATTTAGTTCAGCCAGCATAAAAACATTTTTATTGTCTTTGAGTCAATAATACTGACATGGGATCCCCGCACTTAAGAGCAGCAGAGGAACTAATTATTTTAAAAAAAATCAAAACATTTTCCAACACCCATGCAGCACTCCACACATCTGCTTTTTGACAATGCACCAACAAAGTTTGTACTCATATTAAAAAATACTTTCATGTTTGAGATATTTATGTCCAAGATAAATGTAACAGCTGTCACTTTAATCAAACACAAATCTTACCATACTTATGAGCAGGTGTGTAACAACCTTGCAGCTTATTCAAATGTCCTGTGATGTCACAAGATCGATTTGACACAACAAAGTGACAAAATTCATATTTTATCATTATTTTATTCAACAGTTGTTTCAGGCAGTAAAGCAAATAGCACATTCTTTAATAATCATGTAACTTAAATTGATAAGTTGATTTAATAAATAAATAAGTTAAATAAATACATAAATAGTGCAGAGACCACTCAAATGTATAACTGAACATTATAACTAGCTCTTCAGAGCAGTATCACAGGTAAAGCAGCTTACTGCAACACCTGTGCAGTAAGAGCGTGTTGTCAAATCACAGCGGCTGCAGCAGGGCCGTCATGTGCTGTTTCACCTCTCCTGGGTCAGCCAGAGAACAGGCCAAGACCATCCCTCTCATCCCAGACTTCAATTTAGAGGAGGGGATAATCTACAACATTTAAAATCAAATATTTTAGCCATATGATTTGCTTATTATGCTTTTAGAGCACACAGAATGAAAAGCTGCAGTACCTTGACATGTATTTTGCACCTCTCCAAAAGAAACTTCCACTTCATTGTGGTCCGCTCGTCATCAGTCAAACTGGTAAACTCCTCAGTCTGCAACAGATGATGTGAAAATGCTGTTTGTCTAACTTAAGTCACACATGCTACATGTTCAGAGTGTGCTTGAAGTTAGTTCTATAAGGGGGAACTGACCGTGCAGCCGAGCACTTTTTCTGTGACAGGGCTGCGGAGGGGGCAGGCGTGCAGAGTACCGGTGTGGTCGGTAAAGTCTACCAGCAGGTCAAAGCCTGTGGAGGCTGAAAAGACCTGATCCCTCCCCGGACATAGCTGGTTGGTGCAGCTCTGTGCGTCGTCTGTCACCTGAAACTTACAGCTGGAGCTGAAACAACAGAGAGAACAGACTAGAAGAAAACCTGAATCAGAATTGAAAGAAAAAAGAAAAACAGCTTTCATCTTTGAATACATCCTTTTTTCCCCCTCTATTCTGGTGTGAACTCACCAGCGTGTCTTGATGACTTTTGAAACAGAGGAGTCGAGGTCCAGCTTGGAGATGAAGCTGTATGTAATACCAAAGAAAGGCTCAGGAGTCTCCTGGGCCTTCTGCTTCAGCTGGCTCACTGTGTACACGTCAGTAATGGAGTCCACTGCAGAGACAAGAACAGCACCACATATTCATAACAGCTGTCTTCTCCAGGCAGGGACACTGACATGGTGTATACATGTATACCACATATCTACTTTACTGTCATCAAATCCCATAATAACCCAAACAATCAGAGGAAATAGCCAAAACTCTTTTACAACTTTTAGATTTTGACTGGTTCTCTGCCACAAGCTCCACATTGTCCTGCAAAGTAAGAAACATTACTTTGCAGGAGTAGAAAGTGTTTTTGTCAGGGTTTTTTTTCATCTGCATTTTTTTTCACATTGACAATATTTTAGGGTTTGACTTATTTTAACATGCTAGTATGTGCAGCAGTGTAGCTGATTGTGTTTACATGCACACACGTGTCCTGGCTAGGACGATGTTTCTGAAGTGTCCTGATTATTTCTTGGGCATGTAAACATCACATCCTAGTGTCAGAAATCTGGAAACATCTCGACCTTGTTTAGAGAATCCTGACTAGCTGCTAACAGTTCTCGTATTAAACCAGGACACTGTGGCAAGTTGAACCCTTATCTAGGTTTCTGAGCATGCTCTGTTTGTAAAGAATAAAGTCACTGTGATGTAAAGAACCTCTTAAATGACTTCAATCTGGATATTATATCATGACTTATCGTCACAGGGATATAAATGATCCTGTTTCTTATTCTTATCAGTAATAAAACGGGGAAACTGATAAGCACATAAACGTGCTCAGTCGTAGGTTTTTAATACGAGGTACTTTTTGGGTAATTGTGGTTTTCCTCCACTGTGAGATTTGTTAGAGTCAAAGGAAGGAAATTATTGGATAAATAATAATATTGTGAGCCAAAACATGTGAATGCGGTGCATTGTTCACTGCAACCTACCAGGTACATCTTCTGGCTTCTCATCTTGATCCAGAGCCCCAGAATCGGACACTTCCTTAGCGTAGCTGAACAGCAGGCTGGCTTCTCTCGTGTCTGCGAGTAGATTATGATTGACGGAGACAGAAACAAATACTCAACAAAACTCTACTTGAACAGCAGGAGGATATTTTCTCTCTTAACACCTTTACTGTTTCACTAGCTTTGAAAGTTGTATCAGATCCTACATTGTTATGAGTGGTGCCGTCATGTCTTACCAGGATTGACAGTGATAATGGTTTTGGAGTTAACGGTTGCCGTCATGCCGTTGCGAAAGCTGTCAAAGCTAATCTTTGCGTCGGCGATGAAGAGAACTTTGAACGAAGAATAAAAAGTTAAAACAACAGAAAGTAATCTGTAACACAAACACAGAGTTAAATCTCAGATATCCCCCTCCATGTTTCTCCTCAGTGCTGTATGCTAATGCGACATGACAGGCTGGAATAACTTTTAAATAAAGATTCATTTTGTGGCTGAGAATGAGCCACAGCTGTTAACCTACCCGTCTCCTTCGGTATCAGCGTCTGGACGAGCTGAATGGCTTCTCTGTCCCAGCTGTGAGGGGAACGGAGGTCAGGGAGTGGGAGTGTGGTGAAAAAAAAAAAACACACACATGGAGTTCAGCAGGTTAATTTAAAGCTTCATGTCAGCAGAGAAAATTTGTGGTAACTTAAAGATACACGGCAGTGATCCAAAGGCCAAATGAGCTGGAATATGGCAGCGAAGCAAACATCAGTTATAAATCTTTATTCATTTTCCAAATTAGTAACGAGTGTGACACACCAGATGAGAGGGAAGGAGGAGACGGAGTCGTCGAAGAGCTTCACTTCCAGGCGCTGCCCTTTGCGTCCGTCTGAAGTGGTGAACTGCTTCAGCTCTCCGATCTGAAAACATAAACACAATCATATAAAGTTCCAATCAAAACATCTTTCCTTACAGTGAGAAATGCAGTAACATAAAGTGCACACTCCGGCCTCTCTATGAACTCTCGTCTCTTTAGCTGTAATGGTAGGCAGGAACTTTCCAAGCAAACAAGCATACCACCATGTAAACACACACACAGACCAAACGGACACAATGTCGTCTGTGTGGAAAGGTATACGATATAAAACGATATGCTTCATTTTCAGACTTCTTTAAACATCACAGGTATTTGCTCAGTGTTCACACTCATTGTTAAAAAAACAACCCACCTCATACTTATCAGGCCTCAGTGACACACGGAACATTTTTATCATGTTTTGCCAATTTAGTCAGACTTACCGTGGTTGAGAAGACCACAAGCTAAGCAGTTAATGAAAAGAAAAAGTGGAATGATTTTTCTCTCTAATGAGTTTGTTAATTTTCCTCTTGGACAAACAACTTTTAAAAGTCAGATCGAAACATTTCTCTACCAGCTGGAACCACAACTGACCGAACAATGGCTACATACTTGGTTGACCGTTGGCCCACCGAGATTCCCCCAGCAGGACTCAACTCATTTTGTTTTTAAAGACTCAGTTGATCACATAAATATATTTTACATTTTTATAATGAGTGACTGATGTGATACAGTGCAGGAAACGAACAGAGGGTCAGCAGCTGCATTTAAACAGTCTATGTAAGTCCCTATAGATCAAAGTGCCGGCACCATTAATGTGCATTTTAGTTTAATGGTAACAAAACATCAGCACTCCAGCCAAAAGAAAAAAGGTTTAAGTTCAGATTTAACATATGATAAAACATTTTAGTTTATCGTGAGATGTGCAGGTAAATTGATTCTGTTCACCTAAGCTATTTTAATTTTCTTCCTGCTAAGCTAAGCTCATTATGAGATATCATTACAGTTTATTATAACACACGAGAGTGATGTTGTATCTATATCTTTACAAGAACACGATAAAATTTGTTTCCCAAAATTTTTGAACTATTTTTTAAAAGACTTTTTACTAAGTTTGCAAACTTTGTCATAACTTTAGATTTTATTTACTGGAAAGAAACACTGGGAAACGTAGAGGATAACATAAATTGACAGGTAGACAGATATGTGGGTGACAAAACAAGATATGTTAAATAGTCTTAACTCTAAAATGAATTCTTAAACCCATTAAAGTGTGTATGTTTTCAAAGGTGAACTTTTCCTTTACGACAATCCTTACCGACTTCAATGCAGCCAGTATATTTATCGCCATGCCGTCCAGCTTCTGCCCGTTGGCCACAATGTCTCCAAGAGAGTAAAAATCTCCAGAGTCCTTCACTGGCAGGTGGATCAGAGGAAGCAGCCTGTCGATGGTGTCCACTTCAGCGCACAGACGTACCTGAGAGTGAGCCTCAGACACCAGCAGCCTGTAGAGGCTGAAACAGCAGCTCCAATATATCATCAATGCACATTACACACTTTGACATCATATTCTACACAGCATCACTGCTTTTTAACCTCACGTCTCTACAGGTATCTCCAAGCACAGCAGGGTTAGGATGAATTTTCAGAAACATCTGTATATAAAATTGAGAATTACCTTGGTGTTGTAGGACAGAATTTGTCCCCTTTCTCAGGATCTTTGTTGGTAACCAAAGGATTCTCAATGACAACTGGGGAACATTTTGAAGAAAATATGTACATGGACAGTAAATGTAGCCCTAATTTAGCATTGCATTAAAAATCTGTATATTTTCTTTTGTCTTAAAGGCTTGGGGAAACTTTGAGAGTGACTTCCTCACCACAGTCTCCGATGCTGAAGCTGTTGGAGAGCCCGATGATGTATGCATCGTGTCCCCAGGCGGTCACATTAATGAAGAAGTCAGGTGAGTCCTGAACAGTGAAGCTAAATGTGTATCTCTCTTCACCAATATCTGAAATTCAGTCGTACATGTTTGGTAAAGTTTAATGGAGAGAAAATCTCAGAGAAGGGTTGTTAGTTCATAAATCGTCCAGATGAGGGCGCTGGTGTACAAGTCACTAAGGTGCAGTGTTGTTAGGAGAGTTTGTCTCAAAATAACCAATTTTAAACATACTTACTTTTTCTGTCAGGAAAGCTTTTTACATCACTTTTCCCTATGATTATACCTGCCAATTTCTGGAAAAAAAAAAAAAAACATTATAAGGACAATACAGAATACAGGCTTTAAAATTAATTCAAGACACACACCATGTTTTATTAGGGCACAAAATAATTTTAATAAAGTTATACCTCAACAATATAAGATACCGATTTTGACGTAAGGACTTTTGCATTAAGGAAAAAATATTCGCAACATTTAAATGTAAAAGATATTCCTGTAATTGGCTAAAAAAAATCATGTGAACTCACCGGATGAGAGAAGTTGGGATGCAGCTCAGAGATGGCGATGTAGGTTTGAGCAGCCATTCTGTTAGTTCATAACTTTTCTTCAGGCCAATATTTGTCCCTCTGTTTAACATGTAATTTTCTGCAAAATGAGGTAAATTAAATAAATAAAACAGTTAATATTTCAGGTTTTCAGTCTCCTTTATAAAACTTCCGAACTTCCGACTTTACATGATTCCTAAGACAGTTTAAAACTGAAACACAATGTTTTGTTTGGGTTAAATAGTTAGCTCGCTCACTCCTTCAACTTACCAAATATTCTCCGGAGGGATTTTATTCGTATTTGTTGTTGATTATAAAAGCTTAATATCAGCTATATTTAAGGTATTTAATTTTCAAAACCAGTCATACTTTAACCTGGTTCTGTTTAGTCATCTCAACTTTTACTCCTTTTACTGCTTTTCGCGGTTAAACTGTTTCCCGCGAAACATCTGCGGAATCAGATGATGCCTTCAAGTGCAGTCAGAAATATGAATATCTCGATTATTGTTTATTTGATAAGAAGAAAAATGCAGTTACCCCCCAAAGTTTCATTTTGCAGTAGCATAAAACAACACTCATCTTTACAATTACTTAATTACTAAAGTCTTACTTCAATTTATTCCTTAGTCACTTATTTATTGCATTGTCCCTGCTGGTGTTCCCTCAATGACCAAGATATTTATCAAATCAAATCAACTTTATTTATACAGCACTTTAAACACAACATTGATTCATCCAAAGTTCTGAACATTGCAGAAACAAAGCATTAAAAAGTAACAGACAAGAATAACAACAATTAAAAAAAACGGGTTACTGAACATTAAAAGCAATTGAGAAAAATGTGTTTTAAGGCGAGTTTTAGAAACACCAATAGTGGGAGAGAGACGGATGTCTGGGGGCAAAGAGTTCCATAGTTTCGGTCCTGCAATAGAAAAAGCCCGATCCCCATTGCACCTTGTCCTGGATTTAGGCAGTGACAGAAGGTTTTGTGCTGATGACCTAAGATCTCTCACCGGTTTATATGGGGATAGGAGTTCTGAGAGGTAGGCGGGGGCAAGTCCATTTAATGCCTTAAACACAGTCAGAAGTATTTTAAAATCAATCCTGAGCTTGACTGGCAGCCAGTGGCAAGAACTGGGGTTGATATGATCTCACCCCAGTGAGAACATTAGTTCATTAGTTCTCACTGGGGAACTAACTAGCAAATGTTTTCCCACTAAACATTTATTCCAGCTAATCTACCAGACAAAAATCATAATGGATGCAGTCTTATTTGGTTGGAACTGTCGATGTGTGTTTCAAAGAAATAGTCAGAATAGATGTTTGTCGACATTACAGTGTGACCTGTAAAAACTGAACATTAACTGAACTGACTCCTGATTATTAAGAATATTTAAATAATGTTGCGCATGCAGCTATAATAAGTTCAAATCTGTATATTGAAACAAGGCTGTGATGGAAATAGATCTCCGTTTAATAATGTTTTGGTTGGCATTATTTTTGATGCTGTGTGAAGGAAGAAATCTACAATGTCAACACACATCCAGTCCAGGAAAACATCTGTACAGCTGAGACACATATTGCATTTGTACACTACAAATAATTCCTTCAATATCCCTGCACCTCAGACTTTGACATGACCTTAATAATCCGTCCCAGTCGTCATTCATAGCGAGGGATTTGTTTCTCAGACAGCTTTTCTGAGATGAGCCTGACAGTTTCCTGTTTTGTTCTGATGGCACAAAGCTTACTCTGATACATGGTAGTGCCTGATACACCACATGCAGGAGTCTAACAGTAAACCCTCATTTAGCTCCCACACAGTGACAAATCCTCTCGGTCAGGCATTTGGATCTCATCCTTGTGATTTTCAGGCATTAATATGTCTGTTGATATGATTCTACGCAATGTGCTCCTACAGCTGATAAAAACAGTGGCAGCCATAACACAACCTAACAAAGATAGCATACAGTGGGGTTATTCCACGGCAGACATCAGGGTGTGTAAAATGTTCAATCGATGTATTGATGGACTTTGTATAATGTTGTATAATGGGAAACATGACTGATTAAATGCATTTTACTATACACACAAGATTGATTAGTTATTTGCACCAGTGGCTGGTTATTCAAATGAAACAAAAATCTTAAATTCTAATTTCATTAGCTGTTTCTGACTACAGTTTGTGAGTCCATTAATCACAGAACAAATGTAAAGCATCATCAGATAAATCTTACTTTTGCTTCACTGATTTATCCATAATGAGTTCATGGCTGCTGTTAAGACGTCATCAATCATACTCCGATCCGAGACTCAGTTTGATTTTTAGAAGTGATTTAAATAACATATTTAGAAATCTTAACGATGAGAAGTCAGAAGGTGTTGCTTGTTGCTTATGTGTCGTGATTTTATTCACAGTATATTCTGCAGGGCTGCAGGAAGGTGATGTGATTGGGTGGCCTCACTGCTGCAGGTCGGCTCCCATGAGGCCCTGCAGCTGTCTGACCACTCCTCGTCTATAAATCCGTCATCTCTCTTAACGGTGTGTAGCCTCTGTGTTTGTGTTACTTTTTGTACATCTGAATGTACAGGCTTCGGCAATGTTTGTAGATTCTGTGTTGGCTTTAGGGTTTTTTAGTGAGGCTGTGACATGCTACAACGCCTAGAAGTGTACACTAGCCCACCTTCACTCTAGGTGGCCTTATTGAATGTTTCAGCTCCAAGTCAAGCTAGGTTATAACCAGGAGTGAAAGTAGTTTTAAATTGTTGCTGGTTCTACCACCACAACCTTCTCATCTCTTCTTATTGCTCATCTCTCCTCGGCTTCATGCATCCTTGGAAAAATCGTTGAAAAAATGTGTAATAATTGTATGGAGCAGAAAGAAATTAGAAACACAAAAGTCGAACATCCCAGAACAACAAATCAAACACACCCTTTCACAGGTGCTATATTTAGGAAGAAAAGAAAGACGCGCATGCACAGTTGTGTACCGTCACACAGAGTGACAGAACAATCCCTCATTGTCACCTCACACACAGCTGTCTGTGAGGCGCTGTTTGTGTTGTTGGAATAAATCAGAATATCATTAAACATCACATCTTATTCTGCAGTCACTGGTGGAAGGACTTCATGTTTGAAAAACACATAACTCATTACTTTCTGTGATGTAGCCAGCGGTTTATTCCTTTGCACAAACTCCACAAAAAGTAGTGCTAGGCTATAAGGTTTTCTTTTTTTTAGCTATTAAAGCTTTGAATGCTTTTATTTTAGAGACAGGACACTGGATAGAGTCAGAAATTTGGGAGAGAGAGAGAGTGGGGAAAGACATGCGGGAGAGCAGCTACAGGTCGAATTGGAATCCGGGTCGCCTGCTTGGAAAACTAAAGCCTCCTTACATGGGTCGTGCGCAATAAACACAACGCTTCTGGTGCCCCAGTCATATAATTTAATGTGATGAATTGAAATTAACATCCCATTCAGATTCCATAATGAAAAAATAATCTAAGCATTGTGTACTTTTTTTAATCATACTTTTTAACTGATTATAGTGAAGAAAACAATCATTTCAAATATAGTCATTTGATATGCAGTTGTATTTAAGCCTAGTACCGTATTAAAAAGTTCCACAACGTAAAACCACAGTAGTAAAACTTCATTTAAAACTTCATCAACCAAAAATATAAAAATAAAATCAAAATGAGTATTCCTGTATGATCCACTGGTGCTTTTACTCTTTAGACTTTAAGTTTATTTTGCAGATCATAGGCTCTTGGCTTTTTTATTTGTATTTTATGCAAGCAACCGTCCACTGCTGGACCTCCACGATGGCACCAGACAGGAGGTTTGTGGTTGGGCTGCATGCTCTGTGTAAAACATGAAAAGACAGGAGGTAGTACAGACGCCAGTGACTGCTACGAGGCAGTGGGCGTATGGGTCAATTTAAATGTCCATTTGCAATCAGAGAGTACCCAGGCCTTTTTACAGCATGGCTGTTCACTATACAGGATTTACTCAGACAAGTTGTGGTATGATCCAAAAGGTTTCAGTTCACACACGAGCATGCACACATACTGTATATGAGACGGCACATACACGCAGTCAGTAGACAAAGAAGCTTTTCTTAAGAATGAAATAAATTGTATCAAACCTGAAAGAGAGATTCTGTAAGGATCTAATGGAACCAATCATCAGTGTTTTATTGACTACGATCATTAAAATATACTCTTAAGTTTGTGAGCAATATGTTGGCATGGACCAAACGTCCACATTCAAGTATAGCTTTAGCAGTCGTTGGCAGCGGCCTGTGTAGTCTTTATTGGCTCCCAGAAGTGGAAGTGGCCCAAAGTAGGAGTATGTGTACGCTGTAATTTCCCTGCCACCTGTGTGACTGACTGCACTGTGGAGCTGCTGCAGAGCGGCTGGATCCAGCTGGTCTCTGGTAGAACAATGCAGTCTGTCTCCTCATCCACATGTCCACTGAGGTGGGATGGGGGGGGGGGCGTACGGGGTGCGTGTACCAATGACTGTGGAGGAAACCTTAAATGATGTTAATAACATGCTGTTGAAAAGCAGCACGGAGAAAGACATCAGTGGCATGCATGATGTCAGCGCCCATCGTTATGCCACCATACTGAGGTAATGGTAGGGAATACTGTGGCAACTGGTCATGTTATTGCTATGAGTCTTTGTGCAACCTATGAACAGGAAATGTTACATTACATAAAATAAAAATGAAAACTTTATGATTGGGGGGAAAAAATGTAAGTGAAAAACATGACTGAAATGAAACAAAAAGTCTCTTCAGTGAGAACACATCATAATGCTGTTACCAGATACATTCATAAATTATGAATTACGTGTGCTTTTACGTCACCGTCTACACGAAACAGGTACCACCACCTACACACCCAGGCCTCCTGTTGTCTACACACAAAGAAATCAAGGTACAGGAATGGACCTAAAAGGGTAAAAAATGCGTTGTCGCTCCAGCAGTACCCTAGTAGGGTACGAGCACTGTACTTCTGAACATGGTACATTTTTGTACCTTCCTGTTTTTACCTCTAAAAGAAC